TGCTCTGAAGATGGAGGCGATACGATCCTCCGAAACGTCGGCCAAAACGAAGAATACACGGCGCCTAAACCCAGAAGACGACTTTCTTCAAATCAAAATTTGATTTATGAGGAAATCAAGAGGAATTGAATTCAGGTAATTCTTGCTACCATTCAGTCCAGAACCTTTAGTCTTCTTGTCTGATGTCCAAAAACATAAAAATTAGAATATACAAAATTATAATTTTGCCTGTGGTTCTGAATGGGTGTGAAACTTGGTCTCATACATTAATGGAGGAACACAGACTGAGGGTGTTTGAGAACAGGATGCTGAGGAGAATATTTGGACCAAAGAGAGAGGAAATGACAGGAGGTTGGGAAAACTGCATAATGAGGAGCTTCAGAACTTGAACTCTTCTCCAAGTATAATTAGAATGATGAAGTCAAGGAGAATGAAATGGGCAGTGCATGTAGCACGAATGGGAAATGTGGAATGCATGCACGATATTGGTGGAAAAGCCTGAAGGAACCAGAACACTAGGAGGACCAAGATGTAGGTGGCTGGATATTATTAAAATGGAACTTTGAGAGATAAGATGGGGTGGTGTAGACTGAACTGATCTGGCTCAGTGGAGGGCTCTTTTGTGAATACAGTAACCAACCTTCGGGTTCCATTAAATGCCAGGAAATTCTTGAGTAGCTGCACAACTGGCAGCTTCTCAAGGTCTCAGCTCGTGAAGTTACTTAGCGATTACACACTTCCAGGCGCTTACAGGTTTAAGTCGTTTAGGTCGTGTGAAAATTCTATTCCACGGATCACCAAATTGGAACTGTTCCCGTCCGTTTCCAAATGCGCATGCCTTGGAGTGACAAATCAACATCAAGTTCCGTGGCGGGCCGTGGAGGCGTTGCGTCTGTTTAGGTAAAGTTTTGCATTTATGCGGAACTTATAGTGAATTTTATGCATCATTTCTGAAAGAAATGGAAGACCCGGAAGAAATAAAAGTACAAGAACAGGCGGACCAACAGAAGGAAAAGGAAGATGAGTCTGAGCAGCAGAACGAGCAGGAGAAGGCCAAGGTTTGCTGCAAAAGTTGTGTGGTTTATATTCAAATATGTTAGGTTATGTTTTTTCTGCCCAAAGAGTTGTTTCCGAGATAAACTATTCTCCAAAAGCTGATTAAGCTTAAAGCCTAGGGTCGATTATATATTTTACTTTAGCGAATTCTTTTGCCGCCTTAATGCTTATTTCACAACAAAACGATAGTGTTGTTTGTAAGCCCGTTTCCAAGAGGACAGTTTGCAAAAGAAGTGGATTGAAACTGTTAGTAAATTGGAAATATAATGCATAACTAACGAAGCAGAACTTAAGAGCTAAGGTAATTTGTGCTTTGTATTGATTCATGATTTCGTTAGGAGCCATACCAAAGTTGGAAAGGATCTCAAGCATGATTGAAGTAAAACTCATTCATTTTAATTATGAATGAAATATCATATGGTTCTCAAGTCTTGACCTTCTGTTGACTAGATTAAAGAAATAGTAAATTGAGCAATTTATACGCTCTTATGGCAGAAAATTCCATGCTTGTTTATGTTTGGTCTCTAATAGAAAATGGACTTCAATCATCTAACTCAGGATAGAGATCAATGGTAGACCTTTATGAACATGATAATGAAACTTTGGTTCCATAAAATACTTGGAGTTTCAGGAGTGGCTGAGCAACTGTTTCCTTCTAAAAAGGAGCCAAATTCATGAAATCAGTTTAATGGGATGTAGAGTCTTTTGTGCGTGCTGCCATAACAGTAGATATGTAATTTCAAGTTGTGGTGACAGCGTATTAATTACTCTTGTATTATAGTTACAATTTTGTCACGTAGATTTTCAGCATAAGGTGAATATTTAATTTAATTTACAGCTTATTGCTATGTATTTGGATGGCTCTGGATATAATCTTAAGAGTCACATTAAATGTGGATATGAATATTGTCTGAAAGGTCAAAATACAATTCATGTATACATCTTGGCTTTCTGTATTATATGAGGGGCAGTTAAATGAAAACAGATCAGAAGCCAAAACATATTAAAGAACATTTCTTACCTCAAAAGTAATCTCCAAAACTGTTAATACATTTATCCCACTGGGAGATAAGATGGTCAATCCCATCCTTGAAAAAGCTTGTGGGCTGTCTACGAACCACATCTTTAGCCAGCTACACACGTCTTCGTCCAGTGCAAACTGATGTCCACGAATGTCTCTCTTCGGGTCTCCAGAAATGTGAAAATCACATGGGGAGAGATCTGGGCTGTAGGGTGGATGTTGAAGCACTTGCCAACCAAATCTCTGTACCATATTCCTCACAGAGTTGGCAGTGTGGGGGCGCACATTATCATGTCAAAGGATAATGCCGTTCGATAGCATTCCAGGGCGTTTTAACTTTATGGCACGTCTCAGTTTCTGCAAAGTTTCTTCATAACGCTGTGCACTGATTGTGGCCCCATGCTCGAGAAATTCGACAAGCAGAGGGCCTTTTCAGTCAAAGAAGGTCATCGTCACTTTACCAGAACTTGTGTGTACGGCTTTGGATTTCTTCAGTGGGGGAGAATTCCTGTGTTTCCACTGTTGGCTCTGCTGTTTGCTCTGGGGTTCAAAATGGTGGCATCAAGTTTCGTCCCCAGTGGCAATACGGGACAGAAAAACATACTCTTCCTCATGGTATCATTGCAAGTGACCCAGTGATGCAGCCATTCTCTTAGTCTTCTGTTTCTCTGTGATTTGATGTGGAACCCACTGTGCACAGATTTTGCAGTACAGCAGGTGTTTTGTCACAATAGCGTATATGGAACCGTGACTTATTCCCATCAAAATACTAATTTCTTCCACAGTGATCCGTCAGTTTGCCCAGATATGACCATCCAACACAGCAATAACATTAGGGGTGATGACACAATGAGCCTGTCCTGGATGAGCATCTTGCAGTGACACACGTCCCTCTTGGAATCTCTTGTGCCACACCAGCACATGCGGACGTGACGTGCTGTGTTCGCCATAAACAACAGACCTGCGACGATAAATTTCTATTCCTCCTACTCCTTCAACAGTCAAAAGGGCACTACACTTCGCTGTTCTTCTTTACCCACCTCCATTACTGATGTTGGATGACCACACGTAGCTCTAACTTTACTTCCAGCACAATAAACAGACGACTAGTATGCAAGGGCATGTTGTCACTGTGCTTTCCCGAGTCCCCACTAGATGTTCATACTGTAAGCAAATTCCAGTGTTACCATCTTGCGCGCCACGTGAGTTATGCATGGTGACCTGTTTTCATTTGACTGCCCCTTATACATTTGTATATAATTCCGTGGTACAGGAATAATAGACATGTTGCCTTTTGTACATATGTGTCAGCACAATCGTAAATGCAAAACTTATTTCCATTTGTCATATCTCTTTTAACATAATTGTTACATTTAAGACAGTGGTTATGCATATGTGCAAAAGACAACAATACTAGTGCAACAGGATGCTAAAGTACAACATAATAGAAATGATTACTCATTTTAGCTCAGATTAATACATATAATTTTGTAGGCCATGATTCACATTTGTTACTGGAATGTGTTTCTTTTTGCCACTATTATATCATTTAAGTATCTTCTCTCTCTCCACCTACTCTGTTATTCAGCTGTAGCAACTTTAATTTTTTAGAAAATTCTTACTGTAAACATGTTTTCACATAAATACATTTCATGTATAATGCTGCATATTTGTAATGTTGAAAGCAAAGTACAATGAGCCTTCCAGGAGAGCCACACTTCACTGCCAGCCAGTGACTGCCTACCTTTGGCTAAGTACAGTCAGTAGATGCTGGAGAAATGGTTCGATTTTGGTTTTGTCTCATAATGAACAAGGAGTGAATAGTGTCCACCATGTTAAGTAGTGGTTATCATTGTGGGTGGGTAAGGCTGTAATAGTGTTTAACAGTTTTTGGGATACCAGAATTGGGCATCATTGTAAGCAGATATGGTTAAATATTCTGTTGAACAGTATGTGTTTTTCTGTGAATTTTATATAAAATGTAAAAAGGTAAAGCTGTCCCTGTAACAGGCCATGAAGGCCCATAGGGGTGTGAGAGGTCAAGGCTGCCACATTTTCTAGACAGTAGGCTCTTAAATGGCAGTAAGGTTGTCAGCCTTATGTGCCAGCCGCCCTTTTCCCCCCAGGAAGATTCCTGGTACTCATTTCTTTTAGAGGCTGAGTCTACCCTAGAGGCATAGTGCGGCTGGAAGGATTAGGTCAATTTAAGAAATCAGTGACCTCATCGGGATTTGAACCTCTGACCTTCCAGCTTGTAGTATAGTGCTTCAACCAAATACACTACCACGTGCCCCCTTTTTCTTACCTGTATGTAAAATGTAGTTCTGTTAAAAGGAGTCAAGGGAAATTTTACTGTTAACTTCTTAAGGACACAGTTCCAAACACAGCAGATATTAAAAAATGTATCACTATTGTATAAGAAGCCCATTGAAAATGTTGTTTGCATGAGTGCACAAGTTAGAGATTAGGCTAACATACTCGCTACAAGCCAGAAGGTCGCGGGTTCAAATCCCGATGAGGTCATTGGATTTTTTCAGTTGACTTAATCCTTCCAGCCGCACTATGGCCCTGGGGTCAACTCAGCCTCTAACAGAAATGAGTATCAGGAATTAATTAAATAATTTTTCTGGAGAGTAACGCACAGCCAGCACGTAAGGCTGACAACCTTACCACCATCTTTGAGCTGATTGTCTAGATAATGTGGGACCCTCAACGTCTCACAACTCTATGGGCCATTACGGTCTGGTACAGGGATAGCTTTACTTTTTTTTTTTTCTTTTTTTTTATTCACCAGGACAGTCACTGAGATATCAGTAAGAGAACAGGCATTGTTTAACCTTTAAAGGCCAGACTTTTGAAATGGTGATAGCTTGAGCTGGCTGGAGTATTTTAAGTACCCACTTCTGTTGCGCATTTAAATGCCCATTGCTGCTATGAGTTTAAATGTATGTTCATGTTAGGACACTTGCATTGTATTTTGAAATGCTGTATCTAATACAGTATTTATGACAAATGAGTGGAATTAACTTTGCAAAGAACCTAGTGTCACATATTCTAACATAAGATTTGAAAATGTTTAGACAAAAAAGTTATGTAAACTTATGAGGCTAGCTCTTTCTAAGGGACCCAACAGAATAGGTGTTTTTACCTCACCTGAGGATGGAAATGGATCCAGTTTCCGAAACGTCGTGTTTTTTCTTAGTTATCTTAAAAACCAGGACGATGGATAAAGTCCAAAACCCCAATATGTCCGTGTGAAAAAAGTTATGCTCTAGTTTTAATTTTTTATGCGTACTGCAAAAATGATTTCCTGCTTTTTCTTACAGTAGTTCTGCATTATAAAATCATACAAGCCGGAAGGTCGCAGTTTCAAGTCCCAATTAGGTCATTGGATTTTTTTCAATTGTCCTAATCCTTCCACCTGCACTATGGCCCTGGGGTCGACTCAGCCTCTAGCAGAAATGAGTACCAGGAATATTCTTTAAATATTCTTGGGGGTAAAGGGCGGCCAGCGCATAGGGCTGACAACCTTGCCGCCATCTATGAGCCGATTGTCTAGAAAATGTGGGAACCTCAGCATCTCACAACCCTCTGGTCCTCCATGGCCTGTTGCAGGGATACCTTTACTTTACTTACTTACTTTACATGCTTGTAACACTTGACATATTTTTGCATTTTCTGATGCCATAAAAGAGTTGGAAGTGCTAAAATCATTTGGTTCTCTACTGGCCAGTTTCACATATTTGTTACACTCTTCAGATATTCGAGTCTTTTGGCTAAATGACAGAAAAGTGAAAGCATGACAATTCAAGAAAGGCTAGAGGAAAAATTCTTTGTTCCCTACTTCATTGCCAGGTCCTTCCATTGTAGCTGCAAGAGAATATTTGGTTGTGACCTTTCTATGGTCACAACCAAACTTGCATCATAGCTGAGATACAGAGTGCATTCAGTTTTCTATGAGTTCATAGTGAATTTGAACATCGTACTTTGATTTCACCATACGATGTCAATGAAACGTTGTTTGGAAGATTATGAAATTGAAAGTCAGCAAAAATGCAAGATATGTGATATGGGACTGTTCTTTCACGGGTGCTTCAAAGAGTATTATGCAAAGGAGAGATTCAGTTACTGGACACAGGGTTGAAGCCTGTATATACATCAGGCAAATAACAAAAAATGTATGTACATTGAATTTTACTGTATTTAAAAATAAATATTTAGGATTGTACATGCGCTTCTGATAGTGGCATGTGCACGCAGTTCCACTGGCAGCATTTAAATGCCCCAATGTACAAATTAGGGTACTTTAGCAATGACAACCATACTCTTCAGTGTACCGATTGGTGCACTTTAGACATTAAAGGTTAAATACAACAGCAAAAGAGACAAAATTGCTTAAACCTTGACCATACAAAGCGAAAGTTTAAAAATTAAACATGAAGAATTTCTTTGCTTCAAAGTCAACCTCTTTAAACCATATCAGGAGTGTATGACAGCAAGTCCAGCTCCACTTATAAGCTAGGTAATACACTTTTATTGCTTTTATGGAGTGGTTTAAGATTTGTACTGGTATTAACTGATAGTGCTTTGCTGAAGGTGGGCTGTTGCTGGCCCCTAGCCAGTAAGTGACAGGCTTCTGTAACTTGACAGGAAGACCTGTGCACTGTAATGTGCAACTTGAGTGCAGTGAAGCACTTGAAGGTCAGAAAATTATTATCAACATCTAAACCACTTGCACATTGGCTTTAGTATGTAAATGTGATTTACAGTGTGAAAGTAACATGCCATATTCAGTATAAAATTCTAGAAAGAATCTCCTTCAGACCACAAAATGTGCTTTTCACCTGCAGAATACTGGATGTTCATTTTACAAGACTCAGTATTGAAATATGAAAATTTTCTGTCATAATGAACTTCTTTGAAAAGTGACATTTAATTCTGNTTCTCAGGGACCAAAAAAATTGGCACTAAGTTCACCAACAAGTGGCAGTCACTCGGTCAGTATAGTTTGCTTGTGAACTACAGGCCATGGAGTTCGTTTTTTTTTATCTCAAGGACCTGAAAATAAGATGACCCTTCTTTTCTAAATTTACTGTTTGAAAAAACTCTCCTTGTGTTCAGGCTCACATGGTAGTTAATGTTTTAGATGCCAGCATGAATATTTTATTTGCCCAGTAAGGCAGGCTCACTGGCAATTATTCTCCAACTCTACTCTGTAAGTCTTATCATTCTTATCATGTTATATTCATTTGTTCTTGGACCTTTGAATTGTTTAAGTAACTTTGAAATACACACATTGTTGAGAATTATATGATGCCCTCTTTTTTCTTTCCCCCAGGAAGGAGAAGAAAAGAAAGAACCTGAAGAACCGGAGCATTTTAGAAAGTTATTTATCGGTGGACTCAATTATGAAACCACAAATGAATCACTGAAGGCATATTTTGAAAAATGGGGAGAAATTGTAGATGTTGCTGTCATGAAGGATCCAAAAACAAATAAGTATGCTTCATTTAAAAGAAATTTAAGGAATGTTGGCAGCACCTATGATCAGAGTTGGAACAAGCACACTACATCCAATTGGAGGGAGTGCAAAAATGTAATATATCAAGCTTAATTTTAAACAAGGTTTTGTTTGCTTCATAGATCTACTCTTATCAGCTTCTGTTTTTATGTTAATACACAGAAACCTCAATACTTAAATTGCAGTGCAGTTTTATCAGGGTGTCAGAAATACACATTAAGTTTACTAGCTTTTGAATAAAATCTTTTCATCCACAGTCTCATAAGGGAACTGCATACACATTCATCTTGTTCTGTTGTATGTTCATTTCTTTCCTTTGTAAAAATCCTAGAGTTGGATCTTCACCCTAATTCCACTCTAGGACTTTTACTGAGGAATGGAAGTATAACATTAATGACAGAAATTGATAAAAATTCATCTTTTTATCAAACAAAACATTACCTGTTCCAACTCTGGCTGTGGGTTCTGCCAGCATTCCTTAAATTTTCATCCTAAGCCTGTAAGTGGTGACATGTGTTTAATTTACAAGTTGGCATGTATGGAGACCAACGTTTTGTATTTCACGAAGATTCGCTTTTAAATCAAGATAGACTAGACTAAGACTGAAAGGGAAGAACCCAATGGCTGCATTAGTCATAATTAATATTGTTATTATTTATTCTCCATTTAAAGTGGGTTTGGTTAATTGTCAGGGGATGTCCTCTGATGGCTTAAAAGTATTTACTAACCTACCTTTGCTATACAGTACATTAATTGTATTTTAAATGTATTGCAGTGGTTCTTTGTAATAAACAGGCTCATTGTTGTAATGGGTTATTGTCGTTTGGTGCTTTTCATTGATATGTGTCCATTTTCTGTTTGTAGATCACGAGGATTTGGCTTTATTACATATTCTCGTTCACACATGGTAGATGATGCACAGGCCGCTCGGCCACACAAGGTGGATGGGAGGCTTGTGGAACCAAAGAGAGCTGTTCCTCAAAGGGTAAGGAGATTTATTTGCTCCCAGGTTGGAAATGAAACCTGTTGAGTCTGTACTACCTGTCATATCCCACTCTGCAAGTGGAAAAACTGTAAATTGTCTCCCTCTTTTTTACCTCATCTAACACCTACGCACGGTCACCAAGTAGTGATTTTGTTGGAAGTGATTTCTGTTTGTTTCTGTCAGTTCATTTGCTCATAAGAATAGTAGAGTATGACCCTTTCTTCAAGAGAAATTATTCATCGTGAAGGTCAGTAGATGATTAACATTATATAAAGTATTTTCCTTATTCCATGTAGTGTTGCTGTCCATAGTCTTCATGGACTTTGACTATGGAACAAGTAAAGTTACACACTATGTAATTACAGTAACATTTGCTGCAATTTTTGGTAATATAAGAAACATAGTTCTTTGTATAAGTGATAGTGCACAAAATATACTGGCATTCATCATCTAGTTAGCGAAAATATTTGCATGTTTTGGGATTTCTCTAAATCTTTTGGTCACATGTAATTCAAAATTAGGTCCTCTGCAGAAGGTGATTTCCTAGGTCTTTGTGATCAAAAAAGTTCATATAAACATGTATCCGATTTTGGACGGTTACGGAGTTATGACCGTTTTTTTCATTCCCATACACGCCCTCGTGTGAACCGCCTCTATCATCTGGCAGGTCGCTATTTTTAGCCAGCTACAGACAGAGTGTTCTTGTTATCTCGACACTTTACCTAAGGTGTGGTGGGTTGGTATGTCCGGCACAGTTCACAACCGAGCAGCAGCCTGTGTTGCGGCCGAAGGTGGCATTTTCGAAAATCAGCTTTAAGCACCAGTAAATTCAAATTGAAAGTAATTTCACGAAGTTAACTTTACATTCATACTTCAAATGTATCATGTATTATGCTGGTTTATTATTTTGTTCCGTTTGTTGTCAGTAATCGTTACCTTCTATTCCAAGTTTAAAACGGTCATAACTCCATAACCGTCCAAAATCGGACACATGTTTATATGAACTTTTTTGATCACAAAGACCTAGGAAATCACCTCCTACAGTTATGCCCTAAAGTCGTGAAACACCCTGTATGATACTGCATACAATGCCCTAATGTTATAATTTGAGCCATATTGCTTCATGATACATCTTTTTCTCCTGACAGATGCTCAGTTTGTGACTGAAAAAAATGAATAGTCTAAGGGTGTAAAATTTGAATTTGTCTCTGTATTTCTTACTCTGTCTGGGATGGCATAATCGGTATAGTGACTGACTGTGGGCTGGGTGACAAAGAGGTCGGAGTTTGATTCCTGGTAGGGTCAAAAATTTTCACTTCTCCATATTGTCCAGACTAACTCTGAGTTCACCCAACCTCCTATACAATGGGTACTGGGGTGTGAAGCTGACCATTCACCTCCAGCTAGTGCCAAGGTCAAGAAAATGTGGATCTATGCATCCACTCCCCCATACGTCTTCATGGCATAGTGCTTAATTAGTTAAGCACAGGGACAACTTTACCTTTTACCTTTTCTTACTCTGTACAAATTACTCTGTAATTTGTACAGGATAGTCGACGTCCAGAGGCAAGTGCAACTGTGAAGAAGCTGTTTATTGGTGGCTTGAAGTCAGATATGGAAGAGGATGATCTTAGATTATATTTCCAGAAGTATGGTCGCATTGTGTCATGCAGCATTAGCAGAGATAAAGAGACAGGCGTTAAAAGAGGTTTTGGATTTGTTGAGTTTAAGGACTATGATGCTGTGGACAAAATATGTTGTAAGTATGCCTTTTTCTTTTTAATGGGAGTTATTTTCAGCCTGCTATTAATTTTAATTGGGCATTATGTGTTTTGATGTGTCAGTCCTTATTTTGCTGGTGGTATCATCTGTCATAGTTCATTTAACATTTCATAGTATATAGTAAGGGAAGTAAGGAAACCTTTTTAAGAAATTGGCCAGGTGGAGCTTTTGTACATGTTAGAATAGAAATGAACTCATATTCTTTTATTTTAGTACAAATAATCATCAGTTTTCTTTGACTTAAAGTCTCGCATATGATGCAAGAGTCAATCTAACCAGGTGTTTGAAATTGTGCAGAGAATGGTGTCATTCAGTCTGCTAATATGCTTACAAGTGATCATTGCTTCCTTTATTGGAGAATGCAATTGAACTGTGTTCTTTAATGTTCTGTAAAGCCTCTACCTTCACCAATACTGCTAGTTATTCCATTAAATGTATATGTTGGTTTCATATCTTATGAATGGAAGAATGCAAGAGTGACAGGCTTCTCTGCTAAATATCCAAATGTATATGTGATGTCTTCAGGGCACAAGGTAGCGTAGTTGGTTGAGGCACTATGCTACAATCCCAAAGGTCACAAGTTCGATTCTCGATGAGGTAATTGGATTTTTCATTTTATCTTATTCTTCCAGCCGCACTATGGCCCTGCGGTTCATTCAGCCCCTATCATAAATGAGTACCAGGAAGCTTCCTGGGGCTAAAGGGTGGCTGGCGCTTAAGGCCAACAACCTCCCCACCATCTATGAGTTGATTGTCTAGAAAATGTGGACCCTCAGCATCTCACAACCCTATGGGGCTCCATGGCCTGTTACAGGGATACCTTTACTTTTCTCTAATGTGATTCTTTTTCATACCATTCATGATTTATTTTTTAATTTGTTATCAGTTTTTGAAACTTTCAAATGAACAGTAGATGATTAAATAGATACATGCTATTTTAGTGTACAGGACTTACCTACATTTTGTTCTCTAGTGCAGAAACCTCATGTGATAAAAGGGAAAGAAATTGACTGTAAAAAGGCATTACGCAAGTCACAGTTACCACCAGCTAAGAAGCGTCGAGGAGGAGGTGGTGGCAGCTGGAATGGAAGAGGGGATTATGGCGGTGGATTTGAAGGTAAACACAATACTGACATTGTAGATGTTGATATCCCTTGTATAGGATATTCCCTGAGCAAATTATGGACATTTTCTTCTACTACTACTACCACCACCACCATTATTATTATTATTATTATTAATATTCTGTCACTGGTGGGAAGCTGAATGAATTGATTCAGGTGTGAATGGTTCAGACAGTTCTTTTGTTTCGGTTTTGATATATAATTTGCATTCATTGTCTTGAAGCCTCAATCGTACAATGAAGAGTAATTTTTCTGTACAACAGATATGTTTTGTGTCAGCATTAAATGTGTTAACATGCTGATACATCTGCACACATTTTAACTATTAACATTATAAATAGGAAGTTTATATGTATATTGTCATGTATTTGGTGACTAGACACAGAGTTTGGATTGGTAATTGGATTTATTAAACTCTTATAAATCATAACTACAAATAATAACAGTGCTCTCACTATTTTACGCTCTCTACTCTCTACAGTAGACACTAAGTGTCTTCTCAGTCTTCACTAGCCATTGTTTGGTAATCAATTCCAACAACGTCCTCTTCTACTCACATTGTTACAGGCTGACAACCATCTTTCACATAACCTACGGCTACAAGTGTGTCTGTGCCATTGCCTGACAGTGGATGTGTTCTCTCGTTAAACTATACTGCCATAATTTTGCAATATATTCATTTTTTAGTGTTATTATAATATGCTGTACTCTCTGTTTGAACTAGGCTATACAGCTATGTATATCATTGCTCATAGAATGTATGATTTCATGTGTGATAGGTATAGAGGAGCTTTAATTGTGGATGATGGGATGTAAGAGACTGAGATGCTGCTTCTTCATCTTTGTTGTTGTTGATCATGATTATGATTACAACAATATTTATAAGAAATGTTTTTCTGATATTGTTTCCTTTTTATGCAGGTTGATTGATGAAAAGTTCCTGTCTCTTTTTTCTTCCCACAGTTCTTCCTCTCAGTTTTTTTGCCAGTTCTTGCCTCTCTGCTTGGTGTCTCCCAGTACCTGGCTGAACTGTCATATTCTAGTCATCCAACAGATCTCTTTCCTTTTAATTTTAATTCTGATTCCCTGCTTAGTATCCTTGTTCATTTTTTTTTACCTGGCCAAACAATTGTAATTGTTTCTCTTATAACTCTATTAATAAATTTTGAATTCCAACTTGTCTAAGAATCTCATTTCTAATTCTTTCCCTTCTTATTTTGCCTTTAGGACTTCTTAAAATTCTTATGCCTGTTGCTTGGGCTTTGCTCTTACTCCTCTTTTAAGAGTCCGTGTTTCAGCATTACATGTTAATAGCAGTTTAAAATGTGCTTTATAGCTTTGATTAGAAGAAGTATAAAATTGGGAATAACTTAGTTAATGAAAAGATGATTTGAATGTATAAGTATTTCAGTAATAATATGAACCTAAGATGAAGCCCATTGGCAGATACAGTTTAAATACTAAGAGCATTGTTACTGCTGGGTGCATTGAAACAAAAGATGTTATATGAGGTGGACAAGGCTTGGCTTTTATGTACTAAAATTGTATTGTCACATGTTAATAACTAGACAGGGGGTTTGGAGTGATAATTGGATTTAGCTATTGAATGCGTATAACTTATAACTACATATGATTATAAGAGTTTCACTAATTTACATATGCTAGACATAGAATACTGTGTTTGTTATTCTGTTGTCACTAGTCATTCCTAGGTAGTGGCTAGCGGCCTCCGTAGTCTAGAGGTAACGTTCTCACCTCATGATTCGTAGTACGCGGGTTCAAATGCCCGGCGGAGGTTGTCAAATTTTTAAGGGTGGAAGAATTCAGGGAACAAGTCCTCCGGGAGGGACTTTAAGCTGTGTGTCCCATGTCATAACTTTATGGCACGTAAAAGAACCTCATATGCCCAAAGGGGATCACAGCCAAATTCCAGGACGTTTCCTGCCCAACAATAGTCTCTAAGGCCTCTGATAGATGGGGGAAGCATTATAGACACCGCTAAGCAAGTGGCCGAACTCGCTTGCTCGGCGGGACTGATGGTACGCACCATTTATCGGTAGGGTAAAGAGACTGGTAGAATATCATAGAGGGAAGCACAATAGATCAAACTGGTCGCGGTGCATGGGGAAACCCACCCTCTCTAAATAACTAACTAACTAGGTAGTGACTGCTGACAGCGGACAGGTAACTACTGCTGGCCCTTAGCATCACAGTCATTTTTGGTTCTGGATCTTGCATGACTCATGATCATATTTTACTGTCTCGTGTCTCTGGGTGTCATGCAGCATATCACTCACTGAACAGCTGGCTGGCTGGCTGATAGTTTGCTGCTACCCTCACCGGCACAGTCATTCTGGGTTGCAAGTCCTGTGGGACTCATGACCATATTTTAATCTCACGACTCACACTGAACTACTGACCAGCTGCTAATTTGCTGCTGGCTATTGCCAGCACAGTGATTCTTGCTTCCGAGTCCCATGAGACTCATGATTTTATTCTGCTGTCTGACAGCTACTTCTAGGTGTTTGATTTAAATTTTCTGATTCATCTGCTGCTGATCCTCGTTATATATCCTTGGCATGGACCACATAGAAATCACCACTTCCAGTAGTTCCTCTATTATGTGCTGATTTGTTGCCGACGTTCAGACTGTCATTGCCTTGCAACGGACACATAGAAGACACTGTGTCCTCTGTTGTTGTATCAGTGTCTATTGCTGCACAAATGCATTTACTGTGCTACTGCCTAGCAATGACCACCTTACTTGTTCTGCTATCATGGCTGACCACTCACATCCATCTAATGCTGAAGTCAAGAATTGTGGACCTGTACCTCCACTTCTCTAAATATTTTCATGACATAGTATTTAATGAATTAAGCACAGGGATAACTTTACCTTTACCTGTTTTACCCCCTGTGTATTAACATTCTTATGCCTGTTACAGCTGACCCATGGAATGACTACTATGGCGGTCCAGATGGTCCAGGAGGTGGTTACTGGGGCCCTGATTATCCCTGTGGAGATGGAGGGGGATTCTGGGGTGATGATGATTTTGGTGGTGGATGTTACCAGCAGAATTATGGAGGTGGACCTGTTAGGGGTAGTTTTGGAGTTGGTGGTGGAAGACCAGGTCCATATTCAGGTTTGTTTGTTTATTTTTTTATGTATTAGAGACTTGTCTATTCGTTTATATGTGTGTGTGTATCCCTAAGCTGTTTTTTATTTCATAAAATACAAGGGAAGCTAATTCTGTCTGCAAATTTGGAAGTTTAAAATTTGAGCGAATTTCATGCCAGGCAAGTACTTGTAACTGTATTACCTATTTGAATTCTGTTTCTCGTCTGCAAAACTGAAGTGCTTTTTTTATTATTTATATACAGGTGGATATGGTGGTGGCCCAAGACGATTTTAAACCATCTGATGTGGGTTTTTTACCATACTTGGTACTGTGGTAAGTTATTAGAACTAAGTTCTCCATATTATGAATGACCAACAGGGTGGTCCAGTCTGGTCATGATGAATGTAGATGTAATACATACAATGGAGAATGTGCAATGAGTACTCATCATTTAATGAACATGGACAGTGAATTTCAAAATCACAGTTTATGACTGAAGTAAAGGTGGAAACACTGAAGGCAGAAGATGAAGCAGCACCATCAAATCTATGCTGTGTAAGGACGTGTCACAATGTATAGTATGCAATATTTGTACAGCTATGAAATAACCTTTTATATATATGATGATTGTTTCCATTGGAAAGTTATAAGCAAGAATAATTTTATTTCTAGTCTGATGAAATCCATGATTTCATTTTGCAGCACAAACAAAACTTCCCATTTCTTCATATTGCTAGTAATTGTTCTTTGTGTCTACAACAACAGTGACCCCAGAAACACTGCATTTCCTCATCATGTAGTTTTTATTTCATATACCTGATATTGATTTAAAATTTTCTTGGCTAGCAGTTTGCAAGAATGAAGAAAAGTAGAGTCCAGGAATATTTTCCTGCCACTTGGTGTACCAACATGATTTGTTAGAATTTTATATAATGGTCAAAATTACTGTAAACACTTTTAATTAGAAATAAAGTGGATAATACCTATTACATTTTGTTTAATATTAGCATCAGTGTTTTATCTTTTCCTTCTAGCATTATTTCTGTTTTAGTACCTGTATGGGTTGATGGACAAAAAGTCTCCAACCTCTTCTTTTATCTGACAGTCTTTCCTTCTTAGTTTCTTGCCAGTTCTTTCTTCAGTTCTTGATGTCTTCCAGTACCTGACTGAACCACTATCTTGTGAGTCATCTTATTTTATTTAAATTTTAATTCTGATTTCTTCATGTTATTGTTCTTGTTATGTTGAGATACATTCCTGAAGTATGGAACTGGATAAATTGGGTACAGATATGGTGATAATAGTAATACAGTTGTAATGATTACAGCTTTGCAAATGTTCATATAGTGATACAGTAATCTGTGGATACACAAGATTTGATATATGGCACAATTGCCAGATGTCTTTTTCCCAGAAATCATTAAATCACTTACGTTACACATTTGTCTTCATTTTGAAATAAAAGCGAAGAAAATAAAGGCTTGGGGAGTCTTTCCATGGCTGTGTTTGTTTGATGGCCTCTTGGCTCTTGGATTTTGCTTATTGTAATTTTGAGGGAGGGAATGTGCACACATCCACATTGTTCAAAAGCTAGTACATAGCCTCATTCTTTGTCTTAAATATGCTTCAGGTTTTCAAGTGGTGTGTGTTCATTGCATGAAGTGCTAAGATAAATGCATCATGGGAAAGCTGTGTCTTTCTGTCCATCTTCGTACTTTGAAACTACTGAGAGTAGTCCATGATTTATTTTATCCGTCTTCTAGTGCATACATTCATCTATCCCCTCTTCTCACTCTCACTACATGTTTCGGCACAAATGTGCCATCTTCAGGTGCTGATCCAATCCACGACAAACTAGTTCATTGCATGCCTTGTCTATACATACTAAAATAACTAAAATATATATTTATCATATATACTGATAAATGTTAAGTGTTAAAATATTAAAATTATACAGCAGAAGACGGATAAAATAAATCATGGACTTAAATCAGTGCAACAGGACGCTAAAATATAACATTACTGAGAGTATTTTGATAAAATTTGATATAGGTGATCCACATGAGAAATTGTTTGGATAATTTTATTGTGATCATACAGTATATGAAATAAACCATAGGCATTGACAACATAACCATGATGTAATGAATTGTGTTAAACCTTTGATATTTGGCAAATGAATGTACTTAATCTGTTTCCTTATTTTTAAATAGGTTCTTCCACTACCACTGTACCTTGGCTAGCTGATGGGGCAGGGCAGTGCAGTGCAGACAGATTGCAGGATTTAATATGCATTGCCCAAACATAGGTGAGGCAGTATCTCCTGAATGCTGTCTTGATCTTTTTTAAAAGGAAATCATTGTATATAATATTGAATGTTGAAACTAATAATGAGACAACAGAGATTCCAAATTTTGAATGTTTATGTTTCCATGTTTATGAGTGAAAGTTAATGAAACTGATTTATAAGCTTGGATGTAGATTTGTTTTTAGATGGCTAACAAATGATGGATCTTGCTGAACTGGTATTGTGACAAACAGTAGCAAGAAAAACATATTTGTTGATTTAGATATGTCAAGACACCTCTTGCTGTTTTAAGAGAATGATAATTTATTTATCCTAATACTGTAAAAATGTACATTTTGGTTCCCAGAAATTAGGGTGTGATTCTTAATAGATGGCTCTGTTCACAAATGTGGCAAATCTGTTTGTCTGAATACTTGTATTTCTTCTGTATAATATATTTATTGGCCTCAAAATTCTAACCTGTACTGAATAGGAAGTTCACTCCAGCCAGAATATATCTCGTAAACTGCACCTAGTTCTTGTTGATTTTAATATGCCTCAGTCATTCAGTATCATACTGGACAAACACTATTTGTAGTGTCACTCTGACCATTCACCTCCATATAGTATTGAGGCTAAGAATGTGTGTGGAGCTATACCTCCACCCTCCAGCACATCTTCATGATGTGGTGTTTAATCAAGTACAGTACATTCACCTTAGAATACTGTATTGGTTAATTCAAAATACTGCCTAATTCAGAGTAGTTATTCAAATCCTGTGAGTAGTAAATTTTGAATACAAAATTGTTGTCTAATGTAAACTCTGAAATACGTGTGTAAATGCAATACACATTGTTATAAGTACTCTGCACACTCCTGGAATATTTCCTGAATCACATAAAACAACTGACCAGAGAGCACCTGGAGGACAGTGAGATGGCAGGCTGCGTACTGAAAGCCATTGTGCCATTGTGCACGACATCATAGTTTCCAGACGTCTATGATGTTGAAATATTTTCCTTTTTCTTCCACCCAGCTAAACTGTTTATCTCAGATGATTTGTATGTTACATTGTGATCATACTACTTGTAGATGTGATGCAGGTAGCTTAACTGTAAATCAGTGTTAACAGGAGCTCTGTTTCTACACTTTTTGCTGCTGTCTGTATAGCAAACTGACAAAAGTGCTCTGTCATTGGGAAGAGTTTCACACTGCAGTGTTCTCACATCACAGAAGGAGCAAAGATAACTTTCTTTTATTATGAACATATTTAAATGATCTGATGAGGCCAGAGGCTGAACCTAAACAGTTGGCATTGGCAACACATTCTCATCTCTAAGTCACTGTTACATGAGACTTTTCACAGAACTCATAGTCTGTGAGCTGAACAAGTCTTGGGTGAGCTGACTGTCTTATGTGCATGCAAATCTATCCAAGTGGAGCCAGATACAGTGGAAGGATTTAATCTGAACTGAGTTGACATGGAAGGAATTCACTGACTTTGTCCGTATGTGCTTATCAGGAGCAGCTAGTGAACTAAAGAAGATGCCTAGCACTATATAAGACTGAATATACAGTGACCCCCTATTTATTCAGTGAGAAAATAAAGGGGAAGAAAGATTTTTCATCAATATTGAATGTGTGGTTTAGTTCTGAGGGTTATAAGTAAGAATAATTAAAAATTATGTTATTAAGAAGTGAGGTAAAGGTAAGGTAAAGCTATTCCTGTAACAGGCCATGGAGGCTCATAGGGTTGTGAGATGTCGAGGCTTTTACATTTTCTTGACAATCTGTTCACAGATGGCAGTGAGATTGTCAGCCTTATGCATTGATCATCCTTTACCCCCTAGGCAGATTTCTGGTATTCATTTCTGTTAGACCCCCCAGGGCCATATGTGGCTGGAAGGATTAGGTCAATTAAATCCAGTGACCTCATCGGGAATCGAACCCGTGACCTTCCGGTTTATAGCGTAGTGCTTCAACCAACTATGCTACTGCGTGCCCCCCTGTTAACAAGTAATACATTCTAAATTAAATGCCTTAAATATAATTCTAGGTATTTTCACAGATATAAAAATTAGCAATTAGAACTCCTCATAATCATCATATTTAGTCTTAAGGACACAAAAATAAGGTGGCCCACCACTCTTTTCTAAGACACAGCACCTCATATTTGGGCTAATGTGGCATTTGCTACAACTCCATGTAATGAATTTGTAAATGCACAGAATATTAATACAACCTTATTTCATGCTGTGAGCCCTGTGAAGAGTCTTGTGTAAATAGGGACTTTGCTAGTTTATGTCTAGCAAATACAGCCTACTGCCCATTTCACTCTAGGTAGACCATGCTTCATGCTGATGCTTTGCCTTTTAATGGATGTAGCAGAGACATAGGGAGTTATGTAAATTGTTCATGCATATTATTTGTGATGTAATTATATTATATATTGATATATATTATAAAATAAATGTGTTTGCATATTGTACTCATAGATCAGTGTTTATATTGGACCATTATGTATGTACTTTCACCAAATACCAAAAATGAGATAATTCAAAATTCTGTAATTTAGACCTTATACTTTTAGCCCTGAGCACTTTCATCGATTACCGAGGTTTCGGTGTACTTGTAGTGAGAGTGTGGTTTCGTGTTGTAAATGACCCTATTTTTGATACGTGGACCCTTTGTAGTTTATTTATTTTGTAGATGTACTGAAGCTGCGAAGGAACTGAGGTGAAGCTACAGTTATGTGAAAATGGTTTAATAAGCATTAGGCCTATTGTGTTGTAACATGTTTGCTTACTGTGCATATGCCCTAAATAACTGGTAGGAAATAGTTCAGTAAGAATGATGGAACTGGTTTTGGTAGAAAATACAGTTATGTATGGTAAACAGAAATTTTTAATGGAAACAATAATTACATGTGGGCCATATACATTCATTGCTTGGCAGTTACAGAGTGGTATGTATGAAATATGTCAGTTGCATTCATATTTAATGCATTTCTAATTGCCCTTCAGTGGTATTGTTTTCAAAAAGGAATAAATGTATTCAGGTTACTAGATGCTACTTTTTACAATATTGTCTTTTGTAAATGTTCATAAATATTCTGAATTTGAAAGTACGTAAATGAAATTGTCATCCACAAGTGTTAACTAATTTTACACCAAGATAAATCCATTCTAGAATAAACTGTGTGTAGTGTTATGTGTTTGCTGCTTATTACATGTTCTAATGGGGAGCCTCACACTTTTGATAGATGAATGGTCACAAAACTAATGCCATATATATGCTGGTTAAGTATTCTTGAATGAGTTTATTTTAATACAGTTACCAGATCAAGATGTAGGCCAACTTCCCCTCTGACAGCCAACATTCATATTGGGAGCAGAAGAAACTGTTAAGCTCAATCATGTTGAAAGTGGTCCTTTCACCTTACTGTGAACAAAGGCTGATTATGTAGGACCTTGTGGGATATAATGCTGTGTAGTCCATTGATAATCACCTGATATTTATGAGGAACAGCCTGAGCTCTGCCTGGTATGTGCTTCATGCTAGCATCTTGCTTCTTGAACCCTGAAGATGGAGGCAACATGTTCCTTCTAAACATCAGGTGATTATAAGCAGACTATATGGCATTATATCCCAGAAGATAGAGCTCTTCAAGGGTTAAGAAAACCATAATTTGAGGTGTTTGCTTCAAAGGACATGTATTGAAATGAGGCTTATTACATATCTCTTTGTGTTGTGATATGTTCATCTCACACACCACAGAGTTGGTATTGATGTCAACTTTATGTGATGCCACACTAAACATTCCATACACAATGTCTTTTTATACACACTCAAGTTATGGTTGGTTCTAATTTGTCTATATCTTGGATTTGCAAACAAACCCCCCCAGTAATCTTTTCTGTACAACTGAAAATAAAACTGGTGGATGAAAGTCAGTAAGTATAATTGGTCTGTATAGGTGGAGGTATGACGTTAACACCTATAAATGTGGCTTAAGTATATTATTATGTCATAAAGTTAAAATTACTTTTTTAAACCCCCATTATGGTAAAATTTGCAGTCATGAATTGCAATCTTGTGGTTTGTATCCTGGAGATGGTTCACATGCATGTAATACTTGTGTAGTTTTAGAGTGACAATAACTGAAAATATTACATTTCCAGAGTAAGTTTAAAATTATTTAATAATGGTGTGATATCCAGTTTAATACTATTTTTTCTTCCTCATCCACTTTCCTAGTTTGTAAATGTCCTTAACCAGGGTATGAATGTTTATCCTGAGGGTAACCACAATAGGAATTTCTTCATGTGCTCTCCACCTGAACTAATTTCTGAATGATTGTGGGTTTATGCAAAGAACTGTAGTCCTAATGTTCCATTTCCAATTCAACAGTAGTATTCATATCAACATATAACTTTTTCATTTTTGATTCTTCCATTACAAACCTTAGTTCAAGTTATATATTGTTATGATGCTTTGGACTCTGTGAATTCTACCCCTGCATAGACACTCCAGATTAGCAATGTGTATGCTATCCTTTTAGTAAACGTAAGTATCTGCTGCATGTGTAGGTACCTCTAGAACAAACCGGCCAGATTTGATGAAAAATGGTTTATCATTGTCATTACAGGACTTGTTCAATCGCTTATGTAACATATATTGTGCCTGTGTGATTGATAAGCTAGTGTATAACTATATAAGTCTATATAAGCCTAATGATAGGCTGACATAAAGGTGTGTGTGTGTGTATATATATTTATAATATTTTTTAACACGCTGTACAGCCCCCTTGGATTCTGGCCTCTAATTTTTCAGTTTCATGTTCATTTTACAGACAGTAGGAATCCTTGGATTAGTGATCAGCCATATATATTATGGGAGAGGCGTTTATATGTAGTGTGTAATTGCCTATATAGGCTGCATAAAGATGTGTGTGTGTATATATATATATACGTATGTATATATAGAAAATTTCTTTTTCACTGGCTCTACAGGCCCATTGGGCTGTGGCCTCCGATTTTTCACATTTATGATCATTTTACAGACAGTCTGATGCTTACTTATTTGACCTCTATTATTTTTCATACTAACACATAATTCTTACTTCAGACCAAATTAGAATAAGGTGTACTCTCTTGTCATTGTGTATTCATGTATGTTAGCAGGGTGTTACGATTAGGATTAGGAGCAGAAGATTGAAGGAATGAAAGGTATACTTAGATTTTTTTTATTGCTAGTGGGGTGGGACTAAGTCCCTTGTACTGCAGCCACTTCTGGCCTATTGTACCTAGATGATAGGTGAGGGAGATTGTGGAGCAGTTGGTGGAATGAAGACTGGCAGAGGAAACTGAAGTACTCGGAGAAAACCTGCCCCAGTGCCATTTTGTCCACCACAAATCCCACTTGACCAGACCCGGGATCGAACCCGGGCCGCTGCGGTGGGAAGCCGACGACTAACCGCATCAGCTATGGCACGGCCTATACTTGGATCATTACTATATTGTCATTCATTGCTGGAAGAAGTTCCTCTAAATCACAGCATCGTATAGTACATGTGGTTATACTATCAAGTTTAGTATCTGTATAATATTTAGGTTTGTTCAATAAAATTGTGAAAAAAGCTGATTAGCTCCTTCGTGTATGTTTCTGTCTGTCAGTACATCCGTCTGTCCGCATGAAAAAGTCACTTCCCACTGGTTGGATCTTCATTACGCTTTTTACTTGGAAGTTTTACGAAAATGGTCGTCATAATTCCGTTCCGGTTAAAATCGGACAGAAGTAAGGAACACTATACGAGAAGACAAACACGTCTTTGAAAGTGCAATATAGCATATCACAGGAATAAGAAGCCGATAATAAGTCAAGAGTAAAAAATGTAAGTGGACAAAATATCAAGATGAAATATCCGAATTTTCATAAATATTACCTTGCACTTGCATCTTGTTAAAGTTGTTGAGGTTAGGCATATTTCACAGTGTGAAATTGTGTTTCTGTTGTCAAGGAAACAGTGGTATTCATACGACCTCTCTGCCGACGGTAGTGATCCAGCTATGCTCACTACTTCCCCAGAGCCGGGTTACGACTACGAAATGAATTTAGTTTTCCTTACCAGACAAATTGACCGCCTATGTGGTCTAGTGGTCACAGTTCCTGCCTACAGATCAAGAGGTCCCGGGTTGAATTCCCGGCGCTACCAGATTTTCTGAGAAGTAGTGGGTCTGGAACAGGGTCCACTCATTCTCGTGAGCAGGCTGAGGAGGTATTTCGAGCAAATAGCGGCTCCGGCTCTAGAAAACGGAGATTAACGGCCTTGGGGATCCATTGCGCTGACGTGACACCCTCTAACCGCAAACGTTTGCACTAACTTCGTCAAGTGGAGGTCACTCGGTCGGTATAGTTCGCGTGCGGACTACAGGCCACGGAGTTTGTTTGTATCAGGCCAATTATGAAGTTAGAACGAGCAATTAAAAAAGAAACGAAACATGCATACACACAATAATATAATAATAATGATATAATTTAAGCAGATGCCGGCGGAAGCATGAAAAATGGGGAGGGGGTCTCACCTAAAGGACATCTGATTTGAATCCTCATAATTTCACAGATATAAGCGGATACAGAGTTATAGTTCTCCAGCTTCAATGCATGCAAGCGTCTCATTAAGCTATGGCGACCAGTCCTGCC